TGAAGCTGATGTCAAGGTGTACCAGAGTCTCATTGGCAGCTTGATGTATGCTGGTGTAATTACCCGTCCTGACATGTCCTTTACTGTCAACACCCTTGCACAATCCTGCGTGGGACCAAGACGCATACACATACGCGCTGCACTGAGAGCACTCAGGTACTTGGTCGACACAGCTGATCGTGTCATCAGGTATGAACGCCAAGATGGTGAGCAGGTTGTTGGGTACACCGACTCAGATTGGGGTGGTGAGACTGATGGAAAGAGTCTTTGTGCATACATCTTTAAATTGGGAGGAGGAGCTATCAGCTGGTATAGCAAAAGGCACGACAGTGTTGCAGCAAGCGTATCAGAAGCTGAATATAAGGCACTATCGCAGGGGGCCAAGGAGGCCAATTTGGTTGAGGAGTTTGTTGAAATAGTTCATGTGGGCGATGGGGGGGCTATTCCATTGCTCTGTGTTAATGAGTCTGCTGTCTCCCTTGCCCACAATCACGTACTCTATCAGCGCACCAAGCATATCAAGGTGGCTTGGCAATTTGTACGGGATGCGCTGCGCCAGCAGGAGGTTGTGGTGCACTCAATACGCTCCCACCTCCCGGATGCCGACATGCTCACCAAAGCTCTCCCAAGCTTGCAGCTGCATAAGAATCTTGAGCGCATTGGCATGCGACTGATGGCTTCAAAGGCCAAGGCTTCATTCGCTAAATGAGTTGTGTTTTGATTTATGAGTGATTTTTGAGTGACTTTTAATGCTTATTAGAGCAAGGGGGGGTGTTGAGATTATGGTTAATTCGGGTTTCTCCAATAAACATATGGGTGTTGCTAGATCTACACTATAGTAGTGTATAATACATTGGTCGGGTTGGGAGAACTTGTAGAGTGGACCACCTCCCAAACCCTATAGGTTAGGGTTCTCTCTTGTTGGAACTTCACTTCTTGTAAATCCCTTTGGTTCTAGCATGACTCATGCCCAAGTTGGCTCCTAAGATTTCTAGGCTTTAGGAGGAGGTTCTAAGACTACTATAGCTTCCGCTAGTAGCTTAGACCATTCTAACACTAGATACTTCTAGCCACCCCAATCCAGAAGTCAAATTTGCCTTCCTAACCACCCAACCAAACATCCTTCTATAGCCATGTTCCAATCTACTCCCAATATAGATAATATCTCAAAATGAAGCACAATTCCCAGAACTTGGAAATCTCATAGCTTGGGCGATCTTGGTCGAAGCGATCTTGGTATCGTTGAAAAGCTATGGATTTCTTTTGCATGATAAAGCATGTAGCTTTGAGAAAAACACAAAGATGATAAATTCCAACAGCCATGCATAATTACATATCCTCATGCAAATTATGCAATCACAAATGGCACGAGCACTCGGCAAGATGCTAGGATGATATGCACTCAAACTGACGTGCATTGAACAATCGACCATGTTCGCCCCAGGAGGAAAACTGCGTCGACATAGGTAAGGACCCGCGATCGCCTCTGAGTAAGAGCGTGGAGTCGGGATGTCTGGTGCATCCGGATCTTCTTTAGGGACAAGCAGCACGCAACGAGATAAGGTACGGCAGGCGCGAGGATGTCTATCCTTAAGGACAACACAGCCAAGGGCAAGCTCACCCTGCACGGACGGAGGATAGGCAGAGTCAGAAACGAAACTCCCGAGGTAGTGAAGGCAGCACGTAGTAGCAAATCAGTGAGCTCAGCTACTAAGGCAGATGCAGCAAGTGACAAAACAAGTGCGGTAAGTCAACGAGTGACAGTCGGACTGCCAGCATGACCACGGTCAGATATAGGGTCAGCAACGTTAGAGATGACGGGGGAGGTGACGGTAGAACAACAGACTGTGAAAAAGTGGAGGGATGAAGTCTCATGGTTTGAAAACTAGGAGCAAGAGGAGGGCGAACACGGCGAGTACGACAAACACGAGCAACAGGCGAGGTAGGACGTGACGCAGGCTCTCGACGCCCATTTAGGGAGTTTGTTAACGGAAAGTAACGAGGAGGACTAGGCAGAGGAGAATCAGGCGGTGACTGTGGTTGCTCCTAGAACAACGATCGCTGCTGCAGCGGCCGCGCATCACCCTCTAGTAGTTGCAGTTCGAACAACTCCAGCTCCAGCACGCCAACGCCCTCAGTCGCCACACCTCCAGCTCGAGCACCTCTAGTTCCAGCACCTCCATCACCAGAACCACCAGAACGTCCAGCTCGCCTCCAGCACTAGAACCTCCAGCATCTCCAGCTCTAGTGCCTCCGGCACCAAAACTTCTAGCTCCTCCAGCACCAGTGCCTCCACCACCAGAACCTTCAGCACCTCCAGCTCCAGCACCCCTCGAACCTCCAGTAATGAACCCAGGTGGTGACAGCAATGACTGCTATTGCTCCAGAATAAGGGCCTCTACGGCAGTGGCTGCAACACATCCTTAGATCATCCAGTATTAGTACCCTCGACTGCACCACCACGAGAACGTTCAGCACCCCTTGAGATGGCATCCTCAGAGTCAGCACCCCTGAAACCAGCACCTCCAGAGTCAGCACCCCCAACAGCACCAGGGTCCACAACGCCAGGCTGTAGAGTAAGTGAAGATGGCCGAGGCGGAAAACTAGGAGGAGTCTCCAAGCGTGAGGGGTCACTGTGTCGTCAGCAACAGGGTAGACCACCTTACCTGAGCTAGAGGGGTCTGAGAAGACCTCCAAACACTTGAGATGAAGGGGAGTGGGGTGACTTGAGACACACCTGAGCGAGCAGGATGAGAGGGGGGGAGAGGGTCTACTTGAGGGGACCAAGAAGAGGGGTGGTGGGGGGGACGGGGGAACTGCGGCGGGGGAAGATCAAAGAAACGAAAAGCATGCAAGATCAAATAAAGCTAAGCTAGATAACTCAGGATATAACAGAATCAAGCAGTCGCTCAATGGGGTCTAGGGAGAAGAAGTGGTCTCGAACGGCGCGAAGAGAGTCAGGGAGGCGGGTAGTGAGGAAGTAGAGAGTGATGTACATCGGGGCGAGTGCTCAGCCAGAAATTCTAGCTTGAGAGCAGCGCGGTAGTGCACGTTAAGGGAGGAGAACCTTTGGGAATGTAAAATACGGTAACACTTGGTTATTTGAACAGATGCTTTCATCAATATTCTCATACTTTGAAGAAAATATTGCCTGAATTTTCAGACACCCAAAAAGTTTTGGATGGCGTTCACACCAGCTCTGAAAATCCTTTCTGCAAGTCAGACATGCTTAAGTTCTAGCGCGCTTAAAGCAAGGGTGCACATTCTTAGGGGTGGTTTTTGGGTGTATTGGTTTGGTACACCCCTTGGGGTGCTGTGAATGGTTGGCGAAGAGTCCAACCATACGAAACACTGGAGCTAGGGTTGGAGAATGTGCTAGTAGAAAAAAAAAAAAAAATCGTCCGCGAGTTAGATTGGAGGAACAGACGACGGAAGGGGAGGCAAGTGATAAACCTTTGTCTCCACCCCCCTCCAAAGTGCACCCTTGATTTAAATAACCCTTCGGTTATACAACATAGCATGAGTAATTGCATGCATACACACCGTGCTTTGGGAAGGCATAATGAATCCATTCAGTTGCAAGTCTTCAATCACATCTACTCTAAAAACGTCAGTGCTACGCTGACACTATGCCTTTCCTGCTGTTTGCTTGTTCGATTGCACTTGTGATAATTTCCTAGTCACGGTATGTTAGTTGTGATTGTGAATGATATGCCTGTGGTAACCATCAGTTCAGTCCTGTTTGTGGGCAAACAGATTAATAAGAATCCATTATTACAAGACGATGACCGAGGCTCGCCAGCCAGGGTACTTCCAACCGGATAGTGTTACCCTGGTTTTGGTGAAATCAAGTGAAAGGACGTTGAACTTGGAAATTACCATACTGGTATCGCGTTTCACAATTTCGAGGATGTTCCACGGCGACAGCCTGTCGCAATCCGGACTACGTGCTAGGTCACAGTGTGCGAACTCGCCAGCGCCAACGGCGTACCTGCCCGTCACTCGCGCCTGTCCCGCATTCTCACCTAGTTCGCATCTCACTCTTCCCTAACACACAACGGGCCTAGTCGCGCCAGCCCGCTTTATATCCCGGTGACCCAGCACCTCTCACGCCCTTCTCGCCACGCCTCACGGCCTCGCCTCGCCACTTTTGCCCTGGCGATCGCTCGTGCAAAAGCCGTCGCGTGCGCGGCAGTCATCACCACGCCCGCGCGCACGCGCACGCCCAAGGCAAGGAGATCACTTTCGCCTCTCTCGCGCGCAAGGGCGATCGTGACGCGCACCGTGTCATATCACCGCGCGCCCGCGCCCATAGCGCGTCACGGCCCATCTGCACGGCCCATCTGCACGGCCCATCTGCACGGCCTCACTCACTCTCACAACCCGCCGCGTCTGCCAACGCACGCACCTCGCGATCGCCCGCGGGGTGCGTCGCGAGGCCCGCCCGCCCGCTCACACTCGCCGCGCCTCCCCACGCACCCTTCATCGTCGCCCCTGCTTTCCGATTTTCAATCCCCACCGTCCTCCCTTTCCCTTCAATTCCTTTACCTACGCCCTTTTTTCTCTCTTTCCTTCCTTTCCTTTCGCTCCACTTCCTTTCCCTTTCTGTCACCTCCCCCAAGGCCTCTCCCCACCCCTTCCTTTCGTCGCCTCCCCTGCCCTCCCCTCCCCTTGTACCCCGATCTCTCCCCTTTGCTACCTTCCGCGGTCCTTTAATCCCCGTCCTTCCACTCGCCTTACAGCCAGCGTCATTCCAACGTGGCGAGTGCGAGCGAGGGCGGGCACGGGGAAGCTCGTTCATAACGGCACGCGAATAGAACCTGGGCGGCCCTCACGGGGTGAGTCGCCCCATTGCATTCCCTCCATCCCCCTCCCATAATTCCCCTCCTTCCATTCCCCTCCTTCCCATTTGCCCTTCCTTTCTGCACTTCCCTTACCGCCCTTCCGTCCCTGCCCTCCCATCTCCCCGCCCCGCCCTCCCATCTCCCCTCCTAGCGCAGGGCCCGTGACGTGAAGTGCGAGGCGCCATCATTGCATGCCCCGCCATGGCGTCGCAGCCCGCCTCCTCCTCCTCCTACCTCGTTGCTGGCTTGCTGGGTCGCCCCGGTGCTGCCAAGGCCATGGCGCGCACCGACGCCACGCCCGCTCATGCCGCCGCAGCGGGCAGTGGCGGGGGGGGCGGGGAGGGCGGGCAGTGGTACTTCACGCGCGAGCACATTGAGAAGCACTCGCCGTCGCGCGCCGATGGCATTGACTTGCGCCGGGAGACCTACCTGCGCCGCTCCTACTGCACCTTCCTGCAGGACCTCGGCATGCGCCTGCGCGTGTACGCCCGCCCCTCACGCCCTTCCCCCACCTCTCATGCCCTTTCCCCGCCTCTCATGCCCTTTCCCCGCCCCTCATGCCCTTCCCCCGCCCCTCAACCGTTGCACTTGCGAAACAGTGCTCGGCTCGCTGCATTTGGGCAAATGGCCCGCCAGTCTGTGCGCCAGTCTGTGCGCCAGTCTGTGCGCCAGTCTGTGCGCCAGCCAGTTTGTCATTGTGCCACGTGGCATGTACACGACATGCATGATGCATCATCCAACGCCAACCCCCCCTTCCCCCCGCACAACAACCCCCCCCATCCCCGCATTCCCCCATCCCCCCATCCCCCTTCCCCCGGGCGCCCCCAGGCCGCAGATCACGATAGCGACGGCCATCGTGTTCTGCCATCGCTTCTTCATGCGCCAGTCGCACGCCAAGAACGACAGATATGTGCGTTGTGTTGTCTTGCCCTCTCTCTCACCCATGTGTATTGCCCTCTCTCTCACCCATGTGTCTTGCCCTCTCTCTCACCCATGTGCCTTGCCCTCTCTCTCACCCATGTGCCTTGCCCTCTCCCTCACCCATGTGCCTTGCCCTCTCTCTCACCCATGTGCCCTGCCCTCTCTCTCACCCATGTGTCTTGCCCTCTCTCTCACCCATGTGTCTTGCCCTCTCTCTCACCCATGTGCCTTGCCCTCTCTCTCACCCATGTGTCTTGCCCTCTCTCTCACCCATGTGTCTTGCCCTCTCTCTCACCCATGTGCCCTGCCCTCTTTCTCACCCATGTGTCTTGCCCTCTCTCTCACCCATGTGCCCTGCCCTCTCTCTCACCCATGTGTCTTACCCTCTCTCTCACCCATGTGTCTTGCCCTCTCTCTCACCCATGTGCCTTGCCCTCTCTCTCACCCATGTGCCTTGCCCTCTCCCTCACCCATGTGCCTTGCCCTCTCTCTCACCCATGTGTCTTGCCCTCTCTCTCACCCATCTGTCTTGCCCTCTCTCTCACCCATGTGTCTTGCCCTCTCTCTCACCCATGTGCCCTGCCCTCTCTCTCACCCATGTGTCTTACCCTCTCTCTCACCCATGTGTCTTGCCCTCTCTCTCACCCATGTGTCTTGCCCTCTCTCTCACCCATGTGCCCTGCCCTCTCTCTCACCCATGTGTCTTGCCCTCTCTCTCACCCATGTGCCCTGCCCTCTCTCTCACCCATGTGTCTTACCCTCTCTCTCACCCATGTGTCTTGCCCTCTCTCTCACCCATGTGTCTTGCCCTCTCTCTCACCCATGTGTCTTGCCCTCTCTCTCACCCATGTGCCCTGCCCTCTCTCTCACCCATGTGTCTTGCCCTCTCTCTCACCCATCTGTCTTGCCCTCTCTCTCACCCATGTGTCTTGCCCTCTCTCTCACCCATGTGCCTTGCCCTCTCACCCATGTGCCTTGCCCTCTCACCCATGTGCCTTGCCCTCTCACCCATGTGCCTTGCCCTGTCACCCATGTGCCTTGCCCTCTCTGCCATTTGCCTCTCTGCTGTGTGCCCCTCTGCTCTGTGCATAGCCCCATCATAACCCTGCATAGCCCCATCATAACCCTGCATAGCCCCATCATAACCCTGCATAGCCCCATCATAACCCTGCATAGCCCCATCATAACCCTGCATAGCCCCATCATAACCCTGCATAGCCCCATCATAACCCTGCATAGCCCCATCATAACCCTGCATAGCCCCATCATAACCCTGCATAGCCCCATCATAACCCTGCATAGCCCCATCATAACCCTGCATAGCCCCATCATAACCCTGCATAGCCCCATCATAACCCTGCATAGCCCCATCATAACCCTGCATAGCCCCATCATAACCCTGCATAGCCCCATCATAACCCTGCATAGCCCCATCATAACCCTGCATAGCCCCATCATAACCCTGCATAGCCCCATCATAACCCTGCATAGCCCCATCATAACCCTGCATAGCCCCATCATAACCCTGCATAGCCCCATCATAACCCTGCATAGCCCCATCATAACCCTGCATAGCCCCATCATAACCCTGCATAGCCCCATCATAACCCTGCATAGCCCCATCATAACCCTGCATAGCCCCATCATAACCCTGCATAGCCCCATCATAACCCTGCATAGCCCCATCATAACCCTGCATAGCCCCATCATAACCCTGCATAGCCCCATCATAACCCTGCATAGCCCCATCATAACCCTGCATAGCCCCATCATAACCCTGCATAGCCCCATCATAACCCTGCATAGCCCCATCATAACCCTGCATAGCCCCATCATAACCCTGCATAGCCCCATCATAACCCTGCATAGCCCCATCATAACCCTGCATAGCCCCATCATAACCCTGCATAGCCCCATCATAACCCTGCATAGCCCCATCATAACCCTGCATAGCCCCATCATAACCCTGCATAGCCCCATCATAACCCTGCATAGCCCCATCATAACCCTGCATAGCCCCATCATAACCCTGCATAGCCCCATCATAACCCTGCATAGCCCCATCATAACCCTGCATAGCCCCATCATAACCCTGCATAGCCCCATCATAACCCTGCATAGCCCCATCATAACCCTGCATAGCCCCATCATAACCCTGCATAGCCCCATCATAACCCTGCATAGCCCCATCATAACCCTGCATAGCCCCATCATAACCCTGCATAGCCCCATCATAACCCTGCATAGCCCCATCATAACCCTGCATAGCCCCATCATAACCCTGCATAGCCCCATCATAACCCTGCATAGCCCCATCATAACCCTGCATAGCCCCATCATAACCCTGCATAGCCCCATCATAACCCTGCATAGCCCCATCATAACCCTGCATAGCCCCATCATAACCCTGCATAGCCCCATCATAACCCTGCATAGCCCCATCATAACCCTGCATAGCCCCATCATAACCCTGCATAGCCCCATCATAACCCTGCATAGCCCCATCATAACCCTGCATAGCCCCATCATAACCCTGCATAGCCCCATCATAACCCTGCATAGCCCCATCATAACCCTGCATAGCCCCATCATAACCCTGCATAGCCCCATCATAACCCTGCATAGCCCCATCATAACCCTGCATAGCCCCATCATAACCCTGCATAGCCCCATCATAACCCTGCATAGCCCCATCATAACCCTGCATAGCCCCATCATAACCCTGCATAGCCCCATCATAACCCTGCATAGCCCCATCATAACCCTGCATAGCCCCATCATAACCCTGCATAGCCCCATCATAACCCTGCATAGCCCCATCATAACCCTGCATAGCCCCATCATAACCCTGCATAGCCCCATCATAACCCTGCATAGCCCCATCATAACCCTGCATAGCCCCATCATAACCCTGCATAGCCCCATCATAACCCTGCATAGCCCCATCATAACCCTGCATAGCCCCATCATAACCCTGCATAGCCCCATCATAACCCTGCATAGCCCCATCATAACCCTGCATAGCCCCATCATAACCCTGCATAGCCCCATCATAACCCTGCATAGCCCCATCATAACCCTGCATAGCCCCATCATAACCCTGCATAGCCCCATCATAACCCTGCATAGCCCCATCATAACCCTGCATAGCCCCATCATAACCCTGCATAGCCCCATCATAACCCTGCATAGCCCCATCATAACCCTGCATAGCCCCATCATAACCCTGCATAGCCCCATCATAACCCTGCATAGCCCCATCATAACCCTGCATAGCCCCATCATAACCCTGCATAGCCCCATCATAACCCTGCATAGCCCCATCATAACCCTGCATAGCCCCATCATAACCCTGCATAGCCCCATCATAACCCTGCATAGCCCCATCATAACCCTGCATAGCCCCATCATAACCCTGCATAGCCCCATCATAACCCTGCATAGCCCCATCATAACCCTGCATAGCCCCATCATAACCCTGCATAGCCCCATCATAACCCTGCATAGCCCCATCATAACCCTGCATAGCCCCATCATAACCCTGCATAGCCCCATCATAACCCTGCATAGCCCCATCATAACCCTGCATAGCCCCATCATAACCCTGCATAGCCCCATCATAACCCTGCATAGCCCCATCATAACCCTGCATAGCCCCATCATAACCCTGCATAGCCCCATCATAACCCTGCATAGCCCCATCATAACCCTGCATAGCCCCATCATAACCCTGCATAGCCCCATCATAACCCTGCATAGCCCCATCATAACCCTGCATAGCCCCATCATAACCCTGCATAGCCCCATCATAACCCTGCATAGCCCCATCATAACCCTGCATAGCCCCATCATAACCCTGCATAGCCCCATCATAACCCTGCATAGCCCCATCATAACCCTGCATAGCCCCATCATAACCCTGCATAGCCCCATCATAACCCTGCATAGCCCCATCATAACCCTGCATAGCCCCATCATAACCCTGCATAGCCCCATCATAACCCTGCATAGCCCCATCATAACCCTGCATAGCCCCATCATAACCCTGCATAGCCCCATCATAACCCTGCATAGCCCCATCATAACCCTGCATAGCCCCATCATAACCCTGCATAGCCCCATCATAACCCTGCATAGCCCCATCATAACCCTGCATAGCCCCATCATAACCCTGCATAGCCCCATCATAACCCTGCATAGCCCCATCATAACCCTGCATAGCCCCATCATAACCCTGCATAGCCCCATCATAACCCTGCATAGCCCCATCATAACCCTGCATAGCCCCATCATAACCCTGCATAGCCCCATCATAACCCTGCATAGCCCCATCATAACCCTGCATAGCCCCATCATAACCCTGCATAGCCCCATCATAACCCTGCATAGCCCCATCATAACCCTGCATAGCCCCATCATAACCCTGCATAGCCCCATCATAACCCTGCATAGCCCCATCATAACCCTGCATAGCCCCATCATAACCCTGCATAGCCCCATCATAACCCTGCATAGCCCCATCATAACCCTGCATAGCCCCATCATAACCCTGCATAGCCCCATCATAACCCTGCATAGCCCCATCATAACCCTGCATAGCCCCATCATAACCCTGCATAGCCCCATCATAACCCTGCATAGCCCCATCATAACCCTGCATAGCCCCATCATAACCCTGCATAGCCCCATCATAACCCTGCATAGCCCCATCATAACCCTGCATAGCCCCATCATAACCCTGCATAGCCCCATCATAACCCTGCATAGCCCCATCATAACCCTGCATAGCCCCATCATAACCCTGCATAGCCCCATCATAACCCTGCATAGCCCCATCATAACCCTGCATAGCCCCATCATAACCCTGCATAGCCCCATCATAACCCTGCATAGCCCCATCATAACCCTGCATAGCCCCATCATAACCCTGCATAGCCCCATCATAACCCTGCATAGCCCCATCATAACCCTGCATAGCCCCATCATAAC